AGTCAAACAATATCAAGTGATGGCCAGGGTGTGTAGAGGAATTTAAATGCTTGGTCATTTTTGGTGGGGATGTAAAATAGTAAACTTATTTTGAAAACCAATTTGGCATCACTTATTAAAGCTGAATATATACAACATAGTTATAACCTATGACTTCTTAATTTCACTATTGTGAGCATATCTGAGAGAAATGTTTTTTATATGCACCAGAAGTCAAGTCCACAAATATTTACAGAAGCCTTATATTATAAAGCAAAAAACCCCAAACTATCCAAATGTCTAACAATAATAGAAGGATTAAGTCAGTTATGTTTAAAATGATCTAAAACAACACATGTAAAATTAATGAAATAAAATATGGTACAACACTGATAAATCTCTAAATATAATATTGACAAAAAGAAACAAGATTCAAAAAATTTATATAGTGTGATTTTATTTATATAATGTTCAAAAGCAGATAAATCAAAATATATATTGTTTAGGAAAAGACAAATGCATAGGCACTAAAACTACCAAAGAAAAGGATGGCAATGATTAACTCAAAAGTGGAAACACAAATGGGCAATAAACATATGAAGGGTGTGCAACTACTAGTAATCATTGAAATGCAAATTAAGACACCAATGATACCCCATTTCAAACCCAGCTATTGGCAAAAATTTCAAAATTTCACAAAGTCAAGGTTTGGGAGTGACATCATCAGCAAGATAGCTAACTAGAGGTGACTAACATCCACAAAGAGGACCAAAACAACAAATAAACAACCACATTTTGACTAGAGTATTTGAAGGAGTGTGCTAGAGTGCAGCAGGAGACTGGCAGAGATTGTGTGGAGCATGGAGACTCGGGATGGATGCGTAGAAAAGGAAATTAAATACCATGCTTTTACCACCCTGTCTCTTCATTTGAGATCATCTTTCTTCTTTGTTCTTAGATTTTAGTGAGGTAGAAGTATGTAGGTGTCTCCAAATATATAGTCAATTTTTGTAAATGTTCCATATGTACTTGAAATGAATGTATATTCTCCAATAACATGTGTTTACTTTATGATATTGTGAAGGAGAAGAAAAACTTCCCCTTCACCCTAGAAGATTCTCTGAAAGATCAACTCACAATGAGGCAGATTAATAAGAGAGATTACAAATTTATTTACCATGTTCATGGGAAGAATCACAGAGTGATCACCCAATATCCCAATGGCATCCAGAAGTTTCTATATCCTAATTTTAAAGGGGAGGGGGAGATGAAGAATATAGGTAATTCTGTTGAGTGGAAATAAATGATTACTAGGGAGGATGAATAGATACTTGGGAGGATGAAAGAAAGAACAGGGGAAAACTGATTGACTTATACATGATTCTCTTTGGAAATTTAATTAACCTGAGACACAGGTATTATCTTTAAAATGAGTTGGATCAGGCCTGGTTGCATTCTTGATCTTTTCCCCTGCAACATATTGAGATAGCAAGGAGAGGAAGGAAAGGCAATTGTTCTTTTTGATGGGTCCATCTGGTTTTATGCAGATAAAAGGAAGGCCCATTCCAATGCCTGTTTATCTCTACAGGCCTTTAATTCAAAATATTCTTTATATCAACGAGTCATATTTTGGGGTGAAATTTCTTGAGCTCCTTCAGTATTTACCTAGAAGAGGCACTTTATAATTTTTTTTACAATCTACTATACAATTATTATTTTACTGTCCATTTGATCTTTCTAAGATTGAGAAAAGAGTGTCAAAGTCACCTATTATATATTTGTCTATGTTTTCTTTCTTGTTCTGCATCTGTACATTATGAAGATTGTTGCTGTGCTGAGAGGAGTGCATTTAATATTAATAATTATTGCATGTTTTATTGCACTTAGCACAAAATTTTTAATAATTCTTATAGTTTGAAAATTTGCTGCTCTTGACATTATTTTATAAAATAAATAATGAACTACTTGCAATCATTGCTGCCCACCCAGGTTCATTTGATAAGGAAGACCCCAATCTATTACCTGGCACTCAGCCACTTGAGACCCCACCCTTTGGAAGACCCTCATCAACATAATACTAACCTATTACCTGAGACCTCACCCCTAGGACCACCCCAATCTAATAAAAGTTGGAAAAATCCACTAGACAGGGCTCAGAATTTGGTGGCAAGACCCCTCTGAGCCCGCCAGTGAATAAACCTTGATTCTCTGACTCTCCATGTGCCACTCGATTTGTCCTCGGAACCACCTGCTGTAACACTTGCTGTAACACATTTGCCCGCTGCCCAAGAAGAAGCCAACATACAGAGTCAGCAGGTTTTGTGGCAGAGAAAGGGTCTTTATTCCACGTAGCGCTAATTGGGGATATAGAAGAAATTTCTCAAATCCGGCTCCCTGAGAATTTGGGAGACAGGATTTTAGGAACATTTTTGTCAACAGAAAAGAAACCAAGCTCTGAAAAACAATTCAAAGAGGTTCATTCTGAGCCAAATTTGAGAATCAAGACCTGGAGCCACACTCAAGAAGCCTTGAGCAAGTGTATTCACTGTGGTTGGGTTACAGTTTGGTTTTATATATTTAGGGGAGACAGGGATTATAGGTGAAGTCATAAATCAATACATGGAAGACATACCTCGGTTGGGCCCAAAAAGATGGGCCATATCGAAGTGGGGGCTTATAGGTTATAGGTGGGTTTAGAGATTCTTTGACTTGTAATTGGTTAAAGACATGAAGCTTTGTCTAAAGGCTTGGAATGTTTTAAGATAAGGAGGTCTGTTAGAGACAAGCCACCAGATACATCTGTTGTGTAAATCGAGGACTGCAGATATATCTCGAGTAGCCTTAGGCCTGTTAATGAGTTACAAAGGATATCTCTAAGAAGGGAGGGGGGCATGATAAGACATGTCTTACCTCCCTCCTCATGGCAGGCAATTTGTTTTAGGGTATCCCTTTGGCCAGGAGGGAGTCCCTTCAGCCAGCTGGTTTTTAGGAAGCCTTAAGATTTTATTTTAGTTCACAGCTTGGTAGGCAAGGGATTAGGCAATTAGGTTTGTTAATTGGGGCAAAATTATAGAGAAGTAGAAATCATCTTCTTGTGTTGTTTCAGTCCCTGGCATCACAATTCCAGGTGTGTTGGCTTCTTGGTCTGGACCACTGGTCTGGGTGGGTCAATCAAACCATTGGAATGCAGGGCCTGTAAGATATCTTAAAAACTACCTTTAGATTTCAAAAAGGTGATGTTGTCTTTATGGACACCAGCTATGAGGAGAAAGTTAAGAATCCTTATGACCACCAGCTGCGTGGTTCCAGAGTGGCAATTTTAGAGAAACAAACAGGGGAACAGCAATTAATTATTATCATTATTTTTAGCTAAGCCTTTACCATAGTTCTTGCTTTGTATCCCTGTATTGATTTCTGTGAAGGGCGGTTTCACTGTGGAGATCATTCTTAAAGATTTTCCCGTGAAAAATGACTAATGTCAGCACAGTTGTTGGTATACTTAGAGATTCTCTACATACTTCTTCAACTATCATATTTATGGGTCATTAACTGGCACAGAATATATTATTTTAACCACATATTTAAATATATTGAAATGTCAAAGTTGAGGCTTATATTCACCAGTCCTTACCACTTCCTATTTTGTTATACCTGGACTGCTTCTCTCTTAAGTGTTAACTACCTGTCCCTACAGAAATTTTAAAGTCAGATTCCTGACCTCGTTTGGCATAAGTAAGGTGTTTGGCGAATTTTGAATCATGCGCTTGGTGTGTCTTTGAACTCCATAACTCCTCCTCTATCATGATGATTTGAGTTATTTATACAAATATCATTCTGTATAAGGGAACAAAAGAATATTGGTGGCTGGGTGCAACTAGCTGAGTTTAAACTTTTCTGAAATAAAGTTTAATCCTACTAGATTTAATAGGGTATTTCTCCACCAGAAGAAATTGCAGTGAGCCATACTTTAAATTTGAACCAGCCACTAAATGCACCTGCTACCTGGGTGCTTCTCATTTGACACAGTAGTGTTAAGTGGTTTGTTATCTGACATGGAGAAGCTTACTTGGGTACTAAAGGGCGTGTCTTTTTGATCTCTATAAAACTGCTCCTGAAATAGTTTTCTTATATTCTTGGCAAATGTCTGTGTTTATCTAGGCTTTCAAGACTTCACGGATAGCAATGCATTATTGCTGCTATTCCTGCATAAAAAAACAAAAAGGACCTTGAATTTCTATAGTTCTTTCTATTCTCAGCTTACAAAGAAATTATTGCCTTGCTATTCTCTCCATTTTACCCTCTGAAACCACTAAGGAATTCCAGTCTTTGGATTGGGGGCAGGGTCTTAAGTAATTAATTGAATGCGATGCTCCAGAATTGTGATCTATCAAACTAATCTCATTTCTGTCTGCTCCACCGATCATTAAGAAGACATGTGAGAGATGGAAACAGAGGTGGAAGCCAAGGCTTACCACCTGCCAGGATACACAGCCAACAACTAACCCCACCTCTGTTGTTCCACCAAAATTCTAATATTAGTGGTTCACTTCTTTAGGTTAAACGAGTGCATAACTGAAATATCTGTGAGCTAAAAGAAGTGGTTCCCGAGAAGTTCGGCATCCGTTTTTGCAGTTTTAATATATTTTCTCAAGTGATTATTATAATGAGAGTATTGTCCTATCTTGCTTGTTGTTGACATGAGAATCAGTTTTACTTTTGGATAGATGCATGTACACACACAAATTTGCATTTATGTTTTATTGAACCTATTCCACAGTTTTTTTTAATGTCATTAATTTTTACCTTGAGGGATTTGTTATGAGTATAGACGGGATGATTAATTTTACATGTCATCTTGCTAGGTCACAGGGTACATAGATATTTGGTTAAACATTATTCTGGGTGTGACTGCGACAATGCTTCTGGATGACACTACTATTTAAATTGGTAGACTGAGTAAAGCAGACTGCCTTCCTGAATGTGGGTGGGCCTCATCCAATCCATCAGAGGCCTGAACAGAACAAAAGCCTGAGCAAAAAAGAATTTGCTCTTTGCCTGACAGTCTTCAGCTGAAACATCAGTCTCCTCCTACCTTCAAACCCAGACTAGAATGTGCACCATCAGCTTATGTGGTTCTCAGGCCTTCAGACTGCAGAGCATGGGACTTCTCAGCCTTCATGATCCTGTGAGCCAATTCCTTATAATTAATTATTTAATTTCTTTCTTTCTTTCTTTCTTTCTTTCTTTCTTTCTTTCTTTCTTTCTTTCTTTCTTTCTGTCTGTCTGTCTGTCTATCCATCTAGAGGAATAGAACAAATTTTGTTCTAGAGAACTGACTAATATACTAGACTAGCTCCAGATCTTTATATAACCCAGAAGTGCTTGGCTAAACAAGTTTTCCTGTTTGTGGTTGGGTATGGGGGAGCATGGAGTCAAACAACAGGGACTTAAATAACTTTGGCTAGTAAACATTGTATTTGATTAATATCTGTAATTAAATTAAAGAAGATAACAGGCTCAGAGTAGACATTATTTTACATCACGACCACAGAATGTTGTGTCTGAAAATGAGTCAAGCTTGGTATTGAAGCGAACATATCCAAATGTAGCTACAGACCCCATAAGAAAGGTATCTGGGGCATGCTGTGCATCCAGATGTGTCCACAGAGAATCTTTGTTGTCATGGCTTTTGCATAAAAACATTTTTAATGGCAAAATCATTGGGGGTGAAATAAATTGTCCATTTGTCAATTTGTTCTCCTGAGGGGAGAAAATAATACATATTAACTGTTCATTATGACTATTATGTCCTCCCCCAAAGCATTTTTCAGGTGTCTGAATGCTATTTTGAGGACCAGAATCTAGAGCCAATTTCCATGCAGAGTGCTCACTGTTTTTTAATACCTCTCCTGTCTGATTAAAAGAAGAAACAAAGACTTTATCCTATATTTAGAATAAACCTGTAATGGGAATCATTAGAGAAATTCTGGCTAATGATGGCTGGCAGCAGCACCTGAATATTATATGGACATTTCCAGGCAGGGGATAGCTTTAGGGGCTAATGACTGAGGAAGTTTGTTCCAGTGTCCCAGGTACAGGCAGAGATCTGGGAACCTGGGAAGGTGTGACTATTTGCATCCTGGGAAGAAGGAATGTAGGGACAATAAAACAACTGTCATGTGGAAAACAGTCACCCGGTTTTTTGTAAAAGGAAATGGCTTAGAAAAAAAGAAGCCAAAAATATTTTCTGTATCTTTGAAACTTCTCCCACTCCTTTTGAACACTGAAACCTGCATCCCTGCCTCAGAACAGTGGTAGGGAGGAGCAGAGAGAAGCCCTTTTGTTCCTAGCCCAGGTGGCACCACCCCTAAGGTGGGCAGCTGGTGGAGCTCACAGGCTTTGTCTTTGGCAGAGATGGGTCAATTCGAATAGTTAACCACCATAGCCTAGAATTGAGAAGCACTCCCTTTAAAAGCTCTGTATTTCTGCCTATGTTCAGGAAGCTTGGATTTTGGGATCTGAAAGTCTGCCATTTTTCCTCCTTTGCTGGCAAAGTAAATCTCTTACCTCCTCCCCAAAACATTTGTCCTCATTTTTCTGATTTGGCCTCATGGATAAGTGCTGAGTTTTTGGTAACATTTTGACACTTGCCAGTAACTCATAAGTAGAAGGCAGACTTATTTATGTGAGTGTTCTAGATTTTGCTCAGAAAAGCAGTCAGCATGTATAAAGGTTTGGGAACTACACTAAACACAATGACAGATTCCAAAGGAACTGTTTACTTATGTATGTCGCTCACTTTACACCAAGTTCTTCAATCTCACCTACTCTTAACATTTAAAACTGAGTAATTCTTTGTGGGGAGTTTGTCCTGTGCATTGTAGGATGTTTAGTAGCACCCCTGGCCTCTACCCACTAGATGACAGTAGCACCCTGACCTCTAGTTGTGACAACAAAATATCTTCCGACATTTCCAAATATCCACTGGGGGACAAAATTTCTCCCACTTGTGAACCACTGTTCTTCAAAGAAAAAAATGTTTCTTTCATTAGATAACAGCAATTTTTCTGAATTGGCTTTTTAATAGGATTTTTTTTCACATGTCAATTGTCTGACACTTCTACATATTTTGGCCTTTAATTTTTTTAAGAAATGAAGCTATGTTTTTAAAAAAGAAACTGTGTTTTAAATATTCTATTTTCTTAAAAGTTTGTTTTCTAATGGATTAAAAATTATCAGCACTTTTTCCCCCTCCAAAAGTCCAGAACTAAATATTTTAGGCTTTAGGGGTCATATAGTCTCCGTTTCAGATACTCAACTCTGCTGTTAAAACATAAAAGCAGCCACAACATAGATAATATGTAAAAGAATGGGCATTAATGTGTTTTAATAAGAGTTTATTTACAAAATAGGCTGCTTTCCCTGGTGCCTACTTGGTTAGAGAATAAAAGTAAAACTTTAGAAGCATCATATTTGATGAGTACTTTCTGTTACCACATTCCTAATAGAGAACAAAGGGCAGAAGGGATTTAAATTAAACAAGAAGGAATTCTTCCTAATTGTAAAATACAGTATTGGAAGAAAAGAATTATTCATTAAGTCACTACTCTATGACATGCACTATGATGGTATTTTTACACAGATCCTCCACTGTGTGTGTGGGTATTATTATCCTCAGATTATATATAAAGATATTGGCTCAGAGAATTTAAGCTACTTGAATAAGGTCACACAACTAACAAGTGATACAGCCTTGATTCAAACCCAGGTGTTCTGACCTAATTCTAGTGTCCTTTTATTCCATGCCTCATTCTGCTCTATAGGAAAAGGACAATTGAAGTATGAAATCATCTTTCTTATTAAAATGCTCCTGAAAATAGATTCCTCAACCTGGATTTTTGTGATTCAGTAGTAGTGCCATAAAAAGATAGTATAATATTATAGCAGCCTTCAACAGTTTTTATTATAATATTTTTAACTCATTTTCTTAAAGTTATTTTAGGGCACTGAGAGAGTTTATTGTAGGACAGGAGTTAAGATACAGGTGTGAGACTTCCTGAATAAGATGACTGACTACGTCACAATTATTGGTTCTCTCAACAAATATTTATTAAGAACATGCATCGTGCAGTGCATTGCTCTAGGTGTGGAGAATACTGTAGTAAACAAGCATGAGGTGTATGCTCTCACAGTTGTAGTTTCCAGCACAAGAGACAGCCAAACAAATAAATAAACCAAAAGGATCATAGAACACAATGTGGAGAGATAGAGTATGTCCATGTTGTGGGGTGGGGGGTGGGTGGGTGTTGGTGGTAGATAACATTAGATACTTTTGTTGGGAAGGCATTGTTGAATATGAGATATTTAAAGCAAGACTTGAATGGCTAGGAGAAATTAGCCATGAAAATATTCTCCTGAGGAATTCCCAAGTAAGAGAAATAATAAGTACAGGCCTTGAGGTCAGAACAACTGTTAATCTTAAAATGAAGATTTGCTAATTGACAAGCTGCGTTCACCAGCCTTTTTAGTTTTGAATCCTTAAATACAAATGGGTAACCTAACTCAGCTGTTATTTGAGGAAAGATTGCAACATGCAAAACAATAATGATAATAATAATAATAGTACAGATGTATAGTAGAAAATGATCATGAATGAAACAAGAACTAATTCAGGTTGGGAGAAGGAACATCGTTTAAATGAGTAATTCAAATTAGTATTTCTGGACAGATTAAGGAAGATATTGCATCCATAAACCAAGAACAAGATGCTAAGTAAAGAAATAACCAGAGAAAGAGGTCCCCAAAAATCACTGTATGAGAGCGTGAATGTCCAGAAGCATTTGCTGGGAAGTCATCTTTGGATGGCTACCAGTCTGCCATGTGGCTTACAACATATCATGTATTTCACCCTACATGTAAACTACACCCACCATGTTCCACCCCCCTAAGTTTCATTAATGATATGGAATTAGGCTGAGGCTTAGGTTTTAGGATCTTGTCTTCTCAAACAGGTCTAAGTGTGGATAAGGCTCTTTCCTTATGACTCCTTTCAATCTAAAGACATGTGAACTAAAGAGGTGTTCTCTTCCCTTTTTCCCACCCAACATACAGTGACGAGAAGGAATGACAAAACCACAACAGACGCTTCCATTCACAAAGAGGAAGGAAACCCAGGAAGCACATAGCAGTCACTCATTCATGACAAATCTGAACTCTAGATTTGCATCAGGCACCTGTTGCCAGTTCCTGGTAAAGGGCTGTTCCTGTTTCCTGGAAGTGGTTCTGCATGCCTCTTCACTCCACACTCAGAAATGTTGGCTCCAACCTCTGAGTAATTCTTCCTTTTTTATTAAAAAACAAACAAACAAACAAACAAACAAAAAAATCCCCTCATGTTTGTAGCTTTCTCAGCCTGATTCATGCCCACCAGAATTTAGGGGCTCAAAGACTTTTCTCATTTTGAATGGTCTCTCTCCTTTTCAGTCCAAAATTGTATACGTTCTTTAAAAACTTTGAGGGTTTTCTTATGTTTCAAATTATAATTTCTAACACCAAACAAAAGCCATACCCATATATCTGCCTAAGACAGGTTCCTCTCTACACCGCTTGACTAACTGCTAAGTCAAGGTGCTATGAAACAACATCTTTAAGATTTTAAAAGCTCTACATCTGGCTGAGAGGGTCTATGAGGCACCATCTTCATTTTTTCTGAGCTCTTAACAAGGCATCTTGGGATATTGACCCTGAGATCACATTTTAACTAAGAAATTCTGGGTTTGATATTTCCCTTAAGGCTATTTCTTCCTTTGACAGTCCTTTGCCAGGGGCCCAGAAAGTCCTGACTTGGAAATGTTTACTCTGTCTTCTTGGAAAATGAACAGTTTCTACTTTAGTTAATCTTTTTTATATCCTTATCTTATTAAGAGTAGCTAAAGGAAAACGGTTGGCACTTGCATCATCATGCCTGGAAATCTCCTTAGCCAAGTCTTCAAAGTTTATTAGGTATATTTGCTAGTTTCCATGTTACTACAGATTAGATGGTTGCCAAACTATCTACCCCTGCTTTCCAAGGGTCACCATTATTGCAACCTCCCAGGCCTTGTAACCTCCTTTAACAGTAACCTTGAGGCCTTCTGGCCTGCACACACTGACCATTGCCAAAGCCAATGCCACATGCTCAGGTTT